AGAAGGTGATCACCGACGACGAGTCCTATTTTTTGTTGAACAATAACAAGCTATCTGGAAACGCTAGTTTCTACACGTCTGACGTCAAAATGACTACAGATGCTATTAAACTCAAGCGCTTAACTTTAATTATCTTTTTACAGAAATAAAATTTCACCTTTAGTCTCAAAGTTATAAGTTTTTTAGTTTTGTCCTGATTTCTAGGAATCACATGTTAGTTAATAAAATCTCCAAACACACAATATTTACTCGTATTTTTGATCCAAATAAGCTGCTCAGGGAACATGTTAGCTTTTATACTGTGTAGATGAGCTATCGAAAGAAATTGTACCAAGTTGAATTAAGTCTGATTGCTTGTAAGAGAACATAAGAACTTTTAAACCTACATTGTAAATGAAGTCTATGGGGGTTGGTGGTGTATGCAGGGTTTTTGTAAACACACAAAGATTCTCTACTGTTATTAAAAGAATAAACTGTTAAATTATTGAGTAATTTAAATCGGCGAGCATACCGTTATCATGTCTTTTACCTTCCACAGAACCATATAGATTGGCAATTCAGCCCATGAGTGTAACTAGTAATCGAAACTTTATTCCTTGACACCTTTTATGTCCATTAAAAAGTATTCTGCGATGTTCTCTAGGACAAATTGATCTATATGTTTCGTCTATAAACCCCAATCAGTTCTTAAGAGGAGCTCCTTTAGCACAAATAAAAATAGCATACATTTCTAAATGCTGAGTGTCTTACCATCTCTGATTTAAGTTGGTATGTAAATGGCCCCATTTTATAAACAATAAAATCATATTATGGTTTGAAATCATACACAATTACGGAACTTGTCTTGAAAATCGTGGTATCATATCTTGAGACCTGCAGAGGTTAGTAAATTAATTTAAAAAATACAAAGGGCTTCGTCAGCTTAAATGGTGACGCAATTGTAACACTTTATCTTCATGGGAATGTTAAGAAGATTGATCAATTCGTATATATCTTTTGATAAAAAACAAAACTCGCTTTTAGCTTCATCCACTGATATGTCATCTAAAATAAATCTGTGATAAAACAAAGTTAAGTTATTAGATTTATTTAAGTCATTAAATAATAACAACTCTTCGTCGTTTATTATGTTATCAGAATGAGAAAAAAGTAACTGATTTACAAACCTGGTATAATTTTAACGTATTTAATTAAAAAAATTTTAAATTTTGTTTCTTTGTTGTAAAGTTGCACCAAATAAATTTTTTACTTCAAAACAAAAAGAATTATTACATTTAAAAAAAATCAAACAGAAAAATATGCATAACTATACAAAAACTATTCGTAAAGTGACATTTTCGTAGTAATTTTCAACGAATTTTCGATAAAAACATAGTTTTCGTAAAGACTCTATTAATACTCCTTAATCCATCCAGTCAGAATCACGTGACTATATCGCAAAATCAAAAGTAATTGGGGGAGAACAAACTATTCTTTTTATACTCAAAGCCAAGAAAACATTATTTAACAATAACTTTATGTCCTAAAATGACTTTAAAAGTTAATCAAAAGAAACAGATGTCTGCAAAATATAAGTCTTTAAGGTGATTTTACTTTAATTTTTCAAACTTTTAAATCTCTGTTTAAATAAAATGACACTTTTTTTTGCTGCGTACATATTATTTTGGTTTTTTAGGGCATAAAAAAAACACTGATATTTTGAAATCTATTTACCAATACTAAATTAAAATGCAAATTAAAAGTAACCCACCAGCAATAAAGTGTGCCTAACAATAATAAACATTACAAGATTTTAGGAAACCATTTGCTAACTACATGCACTACTACTTTCAGCAAGATTTATCGTATTCAACCACTTTCTTTTAAGTTAAATAAGATAAAAAGATTAAGTTAAAAGATAAATCTTGCTGAAAAATATTGTTTTAAAATTAACCATCTTGAATTGGGGGTAAACAAACTAAAATATCAGTTGCGGTTTGTTGAGTTATTATTTTTTTGAAATCCTAAAAAGTTGTTGTACTGTAGATTGCATTATCAATGTCTGCATTATCAATATCTGTAGATTGCATTATCACAGTACGACAACTTTTTAGGATTTCAAAAAAATAATAACTCAACAAACCGCAACTGATATCTAAAGGTAAGTTTCCACTCATCCGTTTTTTCGCGGTAACGGGAAAGGGAAGGGAAAAACAATCACGTGGGCATGCGTATTATAAGTTTTAATTTGTCCGAAGTAAAACTGCGCATGCTCACGTGATTATTTTTTCCTTTCCTATCCCGTTCCTGTAAAAAAACGGATGAGTGGAAACTCACCTTTAGTTTGTTGACCCCTAATTCAAGATGGTTAATTTTAAAACAATATTTTTAATATGGAGTGACGTCACGCCGATTAGATGGATATACACAGCAGTTATATTAAATACATAGGATTTAGTATTAATAAATGTAAGATTTAATTAGTTAACATATTACTTTGCAATATTTCAAGCTCCGGTGGCACAGTCGGTTAGCGCGTCGTACTTATAAGTCAGTAACGACATAGAAATGCGAAGGTCGAGAGTTCGAACCTCTCCCGGAGCAATGTTTTGATTTTTTTTATTAAAAAATTTTTTTTTTTAAATAGAAGCGTTTTTTTTTCAAAAAAGCTATTTAAAAAATTTATTATTTTAATTATTAAAAATTTTTTTTTCTGGTGTAGTTTGAGATTTTTTACTCTCCTGTAAAAATATTTACTTTCATTGTAAGTAAGGGTGTACCGGAATGGAAATTTTAAATTTGCCGGAATTAATAATAAAATTCCGACAGGAACATGAATTGTATTAAGGTATTTTTTTTCACCATCAACATTGAAAGTGAAAGCCTGCTCCTCATCATCGTGACTATATAGTATATATTTATAACCTATAATATATATTTTGAAAAAAACATACATATATATATATATATATATATATATATATATATATATATATATATATATATATATCAGGCCCGTAGCAATGGGGGGGGGGGGGGGACAGAGGCAATTGCAACCCCCTTCCCCCTCCTCCGTCAATAGTTTTTCAAATAAATAATTTTAAAGTTAGTTTTTTAAAAAAGCAAACGATTACAATTTTTGAAACAGATGCGTTTGATCCGATTCAATAAGATAATTATTAACGAATTGTTTAAATTCGAATCGCGATTCGAAGTTAAATAAGGCTACATCATTGGCTAAATAAGGCTACATCATACAACAATAAGGCTACATCTACAACATACAAGCTAAAAAAGGCTACATCATTGGCATTGATTCGAAGTTAAATAAGGCTACATCATTGGCAAAGTTAAATAAGGCTACATCATTGGATTCGAAGTTAACATAAGGCTACATCATTGGCTTTTCAGAAATTAATTAACAAATAATCTGTTGCCATATAAAATATTCTCTGTAGTTAAGTACCGTAGCCATTTTAAAAGTTCAAAAGTTTTTCGTATTTTCTTACGCATGCGTACCTAAACATAGGGCTTTTTACTAATATCTAAACGACCGTGATCGAGAAGCATCAAAACCAATTTTTGCAAGATGAGCAAAAAATTCAACTAGCATAAGTTCTTCGGTTAGCAGACGTTAACATCCATCAAAAGTAGGTCGATAAAATCGTTTACCGTATTTACCGTTCTTGATTTTAAATTTTGCGGCTAATTTAAATCAAAAATAAATCAGGCGCATTTTGTTTACATAAATAAAGGAAAGGAAGATAAATAGATCGCTAATAAAGAAAAGAAAGATATATAGGTTTATAGTTTAGAAATAAAATTACTTGAAAGTGTTCATTTAATTATTATTAAAAGGTAAGCTTAACAATTAATTATAGAAACTGTTTTGAATTTTGAATGCTGTATTTAAATCAATAAAAAGTCTTAAATTAACTTCTTTTCTTCGTTGCCAACAATATTGGTAATAAAAAAAATGTTAATTTAAGTAAAATTATCCATTATTTGTTTAGATTATATCGTTGCTGTTTTGTTAATATCATGTTATTGCTATTATCTTGTATTTATGATAAGAAATACTAATAGTAAAAAAAAATTATTTTTAATTAAGATTTTTGCCATTATGCCTAACAATAAACTCTTATAAATACTAATTGTTTTGTCCAGACACCTTTTGACCAGTATATATAACTATTGTCCAGTTTAGAGGCACTGTGGGTGCTACATCTAATATTCTTTTAATAATCATTGCTTCTTTTTACTATGTATATTTATCATACCTATAACACAAGTCACTTACAAACTATTCATATAATGAATCATTCTACTCCAAATATTATCACTTCTATTTATCAATCAGACCAAACACTAACAGTCTAGCCAACCATGATCATAAAACAACTTACTTCACTGTCACCATCAATGTTTTTTAACTTTTATTATTGTATATAAATTACTTAAACCCCATTTTCATAATTACCATTTTAAAACTACTTAAACGAATAATTCTACTTCAGCTCTGTAACATACACTTATACACATCTCTTAATAAAAGATAAATAATACTGTTCAATTACTAAATACAAGTTATTGTTAACGCATTATGGAATTGATTATAAAGAGTTTTTTAAACACAAATTTCATATTATCGCAAGATATCGCATAACTTAATTTTAATTACCAGCTGTTTTAATTACTGTCTAATAACATTTCAGAACTAAAAACTCATACTAATGACACAAGTCACTATAAGTATGATTAAACACAAAATAGGCCATACTGCACACACACTTTGTTTAAATAATTAAAGGCTACCTGTTAATAGTTTTATAAAACAAATAATTCTATTCTACTTCAGATACATTTCATAATAATAGTCACATGATATGTGCACAGTGAATCCTGTCAACTGTGCAAATTACATAACACACATTTATACTACAGACATTTACCTGTTAGCTTACAAATTTCTAAATGATTTTAGTTTATTAAATATGAAGTATATATAAAAGTTATTGTTGATATTGGTGTAATTTTTTTTTTTTTTTTTAAGTTGATTAAGGTGCCCCAAGAAGTCCTTACGGTCTTTTCACAGAGCATCGCGGAAGAGCATTTAATGGGGAGCATTTAATTAGAAGATAATGACGATGAAAATGATGATGATGATGATCTTTTGGATTGCATCTATAGCTTCCAGAATATGACAGTGGAAAGGATCTCATTATGTTATCTTTTATGCATGCAAGAACATGACTTCTAAATAGCCTTTGGTTGAACCAAATATCATCAACTGGATTTTTATTGTTCAATAAAATAAACTCTATAAAAGCTAGTGAAAACAAACCACAATCTACATTTCCTTCTTGCTGCTGAACTGGTAAAACATTTACTTTAATTTCGGATTTGTTGTAATTTAAAAGAGAACATATTTGTATCTGTGTATCTAATGACAAATATCCATGAAAACTACTAACAAGTTCATATACTTCTCCAAACTTGCAGCCATATGTGCTAATAGCAAGCCAGTGATGATGTCCATTATAAATGACTTGAACGAACGGCAGAGAACCTTGGGGCTTAAAAAAAAGTTTTTGTCCTAATATTGGATCTTGCAACCCATTTGCAGATGGATGATTTTTTATAATTAAATTTTGAAAGTAATGGATAACACTATCTGATAACATTCTGTTATTTGAAATGTCTTCTAAATCCTCAGTTTTAAGTAAAGAAATATTTAAAATATTGTTATCATCATCAGACAAAATATTTTCAATAATCATAGAACTTGTTTTAAAAGATGTTTCACCTCTTATTTGATCATGAGTAATAATACATTCTTGTATCGATACTTCTGGAGCAACACTATTAATCTTAATATTACATGATGAGAGAGTGACATATCTTTTTTTTTTCCAACCCGATTTGAACTTTTTTTTTTTTTAATACCAGGTATTTCAATTAATTTCATTTTCTTATTGAGTACATAATCATCCATATTTTCTGTTCGAACAGGTAGACCTTTTTCTTTTTTTCTTGCATGATAAAGGGCATTAAGAATGTTTGATAAATTTTCATGTAAGTCAGAAATTTCTCCAGATGTTTCATCAAAATCATAAGTTAAATTTTTAATAGTGGTAAGCATTTCACGTACTTCAGATGCCATCAGACCTTTTTTTGAATACTTTTGTCAGAGAGTTTTAAAGATACTGTATCTGAGAAATTAACAATAGAAGCTTTAGTATATTCTTGAACATGTTTATTTGCATGGTTGCATTTACAAACAATTGATTGATTTAATATCAAGTCATTTTTAATGTCAATATTTAGAAATGGGGATTCCCTATATAAAGAAGATAAAGATTGCCATGACCAATTATGCGGATGTTTTCTAAATATCAAAAAAAAGTGTTTGCAAAGATAAGCTGATTTTAACCAATCATTGCAAGTACATTTTGGCATGTTGTTTTCATCGCCAAAATTGACAATGTAAATTTTACTTTCATCTGAGAAACTTTTTACTTTAAATATTCCATGGTCTACTAAAATTAATCCATTTAGGTCAGCATTACTAGCTAAATTATGTTTCTGTAAACAATGTTTAACAAAATGATGTGGCTTATTATGTAAAAAATGAGGTACATTCATACTATAACGTCTGTACTGACAACTCATTTTGAAATTGGATTCTGAATATCTAAAATATTTTTTTTTTAATTAAACTTTATCTACAATTATTTTTTTTTTATAAGTTCAATTTAAAATAAACTTACTGTTCAAATTTGTCTGGAAAAAATTCTTCAATTAATAGGGTTAGCATACCAGAAATAGATGAATTTTTATGCTGTTACAAATAAGAATATTTAAAGGATTCATTTTGTCTTTCCACCCCATTGTTAGTATTTAAACCAACCAACAATCGATCGCGACGATAAGCCCATATCCATTTCTAAACGAAACATGAGAGTATCAACTAAAATATCATTTACATAAAAAATCAAATATAAATGAATAAAGGTACAGATAAAAAGATTAAAATTAATAAACATTATCAGGGTGTTAACCAAAATAAAAATTTAATGTCAATTTTTTCTTCAATTGATAGAAACAATTGTTGTCATTTAATATATTATATAAATAATTAGGAGAGCCTGTTATTATGTACAATCGGGAAATTATCTTATCACAGACAAAATAAAGACTAACTAACACACAGACTTTTGTAACAAGAATGTTATCATTAAATCATATATACTAACATTATAAATTAATTATATATATATATATATATATATATATATATATATATATATATATATATATATATATATATATATTATACATATATGCGACCGCACAAGTCCAAAAAAGGCTTTATTTATATATATATATATATATATATATATATATATATATATATATATATATATATATATATATATATATATATATATATATATATATATACTTGTGTGTCTATTTTACCTGGAAAAATAGCTTCTAATGACTCTATTTCTTCGTTGCAATAATCAGTCATACAAAAAGTAGGATTTAACGATGCATTCCATTGTTTTATTATATTTAATGCTTCAGTGATAGCCTTTTTAGTTTCATTTTCGATTACAAAAGTGGAAACAACTTGATAATCTACATTTGTTTTTATCGTTAAAAAAAATAAGGGAAGAGAATATCTCGTAGTTCGGTAAGTGGCATCAAGAAGCAGTATCTCATTTCCATACCGTAAAAGAAGTTCTTGTTGCCAAAGTGATTGATATACAAATAAAAAGGAATACATAGTTTCACAGATACTGTTTGTAATTTCAGCTTTTGGTCTAAGAAACACCTTTATAGAAGAATCCCTTTTTTTTCATTCATCACATTTCTTTAAAAGACATTCTTGATCAATCATAGAATACCTAAACAATTAAAATATCATTATCGTAATAATAAATCACACATATATATGTGTATCATACACACTTTTTTTTAAAGATATATATGATATATCATAGATATATATGTGTATAGATATATATGTGTATCATACACACTTTTTTTAAAAACATGCACTTTCATTTTTCAAAAATAGAAAAAACAATAACCTTTCAGTATAACATCATCAGTTTGATTCTGATACTGCATTTATTTATGTATGTATGTATGTATATATGTATATATATATCAACCCTCGAAATTAGGGTCGGCATTGCCAACCTGAAAGTGTACGAGGTCGGCAAAAAATAACCGACCTTGTTTCTATGTTTTGCGGTCAGATCTTAAAATAATTTTTGCCGACCTCAAAAAGATTGAGATCTGTAATAATTTGCCGACCTCATTTTTCCCAATTCCGAGTGTTGATATATATATATATATATATATATATATATATATATATATATATATAGAGAGAGAGAGAGAGAGAGAGAGAGATTAAAATTGAGTCAGAAAAGAAAGGTGACAACAAATGGTTGCCTAAACGCAACTGTTGCCTTATAGCTCGTTTTTTTAACAAATTTTGTCGCTATTAAGTATGAATATATATATATACACATATATATAGTATATATATATAATACATATAATATATATATATATATATATATATATAATATATATATAATATTTATATATATTGTATATATAATATATATATATATAATATATAGTATATATTTAGTATATATATATATATATATATATATATATATATATATATATATATATATATATATATATATATATATATATATATATATATATAAACAGGGTTTATACAAGTTCTCAATAAAAAAATTCCCTGATTTAACTCAAAAACATAAGTAATTTCCCTGACTTTTTTTCCTGAAAACCCTGTTTCCTCTGACTCATTCAAAAAAATTTTCCTTTTACCCTGAATCATTGACTATGCATAGTAATAATTATAAATTGTTTCCTGAAAAATTGAGTTACTACCCTTTTACCCTGACTCATTAACTATATATAGTAATAATTATAAACTGTTTCCTGAAAAATTGAGTTGCATCGACACTAACATATACAAAATAAAATACTCACATAGACATGCATTAACACTCACATATGAAATAAAAGATGTACTGATCATATGTTCTTTAATTAAAGGTTATATTGATTAACACAATTCTTTTAAATTATTTAAAAATCTCCTTTTTATGATTAAGTATTTTTGTTAAAACTTTTATTTAATTATCAAAACTAAAATTTAATAAATAATTAGTAACCTTAGCTTTTGTTTAATTTTGACTATATGTGATCTTATAGTTGTAACACGGGGGAAAAACCTTCTATTATTTGGTGGAGGAAGATTTTCTTTTTCAAATATACCCTTTACAGCAATTCGAAGGAGCCTTTTCATTTCTCTTACATTGAATATTCCCTCCATTACATATTCTTCAATTTTTTTAGAAATTTCAGGATCAATTTTTTGAGAAATCAATTCAGCCTTAAAAAAAAAGTAAATAAAAATCTTATAACATGTTTATATTACAATATTATATGACAAACCAGAACTAAATTATTTTTTTACCAATCCTACAAGATGATTATCATGACATGATAAATTGTCAATAGCAACTACAATTGTTCGCATATGATTAATTTCATTTAATGCAGAAGTTTTTATTTTCTTCCTCAAAAGTTTAGATGCATTCTTTTGGCGCCATACAGACCTCTCTGATATCTAAATATATTAATTAATTAATAAACAAAAGCAGTATATAAAATCAAAGTACCTAAAATAAATTCAATTTTTATGGTTTACATAACTGTCAATAATTTTTTGTTTTACTTAATTACATAACCAATTTCTACCTTAAAATCAGGAAAATGTATTATTTCTCTCATATTAACTTTAGCAGGGCACATGAATTTTTTAGTGTCTTGTAAAATAATATAATTCTTTTGAAAGCAGTGATCATCTATCTGTAATTAAAAAGGTAATACAGTGCATTGTACATTTAATTGGTTAGTTCAATAACATTTTATTATTTGAAAAAAAAATTTAAAATATTTAAGAGAAAGCTCAAAAGCTAGTAACATACTTTAAACCTCTTCAAATGTCATATTTAATAAATATTTTTAAAGAAAAGAATAATATATAAAGATTGATTTTGACCAAGTGTATTACATTAAGTTTTTGTTTTTTTAGTTGATAATTCTTTTTTGATGCAATATTTCTGTCAAATCCATGATGACAATCGAAAACTTTGCTTGCAACAACTATGTAAGGCAACCCAGAATAAGGAACAGCAAAATCTTCCCAAAGTATAGAATAACTTTTTGTAATCATTTCTAGAGTATAAAATGAAAACATTTTTGAAATAAACTAATTTAATAACTTAAGAAAAGTTATAACTAAAAGAACCACTTTACCAGTCATTCCAAAATTTTTATTTGCCTTAAACACTACGAATCTTGTTGTTGTCACTATCTCATACTTTTTTACACATTGAAGAGCTTCTTCATGAGATTTACAATGATAAACCAGCTTTGATTTATCAGCTACAAAAACAATTATCAAACAATTATAACAATAATTCCTACATATAAAAGCAAATGCAAACAATTCTTTTATAAAAAAAATTAAATAACTAGCTGATTTCGGCATTACAGTCAAATATTTGACATACTACTATTAATGCAATGAGCAAATAAAGAGGTAATTTCTTGAGTACTTGCAACTATAATGTTTTCTATGTTAAAAAAATAATTACACGAGAAAAAACTAAACATAAAATATGTAAATAAATACATAGAATGCATAACTTAATTTGATTATTTAAATATTAATTATCAGATTAAATCATTTAATCCGATTTAATCTGATTTAATCATTTAATAAATGTCATGTTTATCAATTGATTTATAATTAAACAACCTGGTAAACTTTCACTTTCATCGGAGCTAGTTTCTTCAGAGCTGCTAATATTTAGATTGTTATCATAATTAGATAGAAATAAATCCATACTCATAGAATATATCAATAAACGTTATTGAATAAAGTTCACTAAAAACTAAATACTCAAAATTTCGTAATATTGCGTTCGTGTGTAACTTAAGCGCTAATTCCACTAAAATTTATAGATGAAGTTATAAACGGTAACCGGTAAAAATGACCTACTTTTGAGGGATGTTAAAGTCTGCTAACCAGAATTTTAAGGCCTCCTGTTTCAGACCCGCGCTTTATTTAAATGCGCAAAACAGAATTAAATATGGCTTCTAAAAGTAAAGTAGAGTGGTCTGATAAAGCAGTACAGTTAGAATCAAAGAAATATGTTAAACTGGATCAAGATGGTAACATTATACAATGCTTGCTATGTAACGTCGGAATCAAAGTCAGAAAGGGAAGATCTTTTACTACCCATGAGTACGATCAACATTGTAAATCCATTTCACACGAGGTATCTGTTCGTAAAGAAAATGAAGCTGGGCTTTTTCAAGGCGCTACTCGACTTTCTCTCCCCCCCCCCTGTTTTTATGATTGATTTTTATAGAGTATATTATACTGATTCTAAATCATATAAAAACATAGGTCTGAAAACTTGAGGAAAGTACTCTAATTTGATGTTAAAGTATAAAAATCCACATTAAAAACGCTAATATTAGCCATCTTTGTCATACTCGGTTATAATAAAATTCTTTTTCAATAAAAACTTTGAAAAACCCTGGTTTCTATCGACGCTTCAATTTAAAACGCATTTTTTATTGATTTCCTGCCCCAACCAAACCCTGACCAAAATCATTTACATTTAATTGCGCCAATTCCTATTAGTCAGTAGATATGTACATTTATTTACGCCAATTCCTATTTGTCAGTCGATGTATGTATATTTAATCGCGTCAATTCCTATTTGTCAGTCGGATACATGTACATTTAGTTGCGCCAATTCCTATTTGTCAGTCGATGCATGTACATCATAAAATATAAAAACAACAATAAAAACCGGGTCGTTAGTTAAAAATTAATTACCTAAATTTTAAAAACAGTGTTAAAATGTTTTTAAAAAGATGGTGGAATATTAGCGTTTTTTAATGTGGATTTTTATACTTTAACATCAGTTTAGAGTACTTTCCTCAAGTTTTCAGACCTATGTTTTTATATGATTTAGAATCAGTATAATATACTCTATAAAAATCAATCATAAAAACAGGGGGGGGGGGGAGAAAGTCGAGTAGCGCCCTTTTTCAAACTAATATACATCAGTTTTTTCCTATTGTTTTTCCAAATGTTTCGAAATTAGAAGTTGTGGCTAATTCTGGAATTGATTTTAGTATTATTCCTGAAGCTAAAATAAAATTAAATAAACCATGCGATGGTGTATTTAATAAGAGAAGAGAACTTGTAGTCCTTTTTAACTCCTATGGCATTATGGATAGTATGAGAAATAATAACGCAATATTTGTTAAAATAGATGATAAAATTTATCTTCATAGCATTCAATGTACTGGAAATCACATAAAAAAATGTGATAATTGTATTAATTTATGTAGAAATAGATCATTCACTAGTTGATTGGAAGCAATGGGTGTTGTAAGAGATGTTTTAGAAATTATCGAATCATCTGAAATTTGTGAAGCAGACTTAAAAGCACTTAAAAAATTTGTAAAGAGCTGTAAACTTAATCATGCACGGTGTAATGAAAAAAGAAAACTGTTAGCTGCAAAGGTCAGTTTAAAAATTGAAGGTATTACTTCATTATTAAATCTGAAAAAAGAACTTTTGGCGATTGGAATTACTGTTTCAGAAACAAATCAAATTTCAGGATATGATTCCTTTTTCCAATCATTTCATAAACTTTACGAAGAAAATCCTAAACAAAATGGAACTCTACTACATGCAATGCAGTCTTGTCTAATTTCAAAAGCAAGTGGTAAGGCGAATGAAAAATTTCAAATTGTGATGTTAGATTTTTTTTTAATGCTTCGAACATTTGGTAAATGTGTTTATAGATTTGTTGCTGCAAATCTCCCTAGTGTTTCCGTGAGACATATACAACGCGTCACTGCAAAAACATCAAATAGTTTTATTCTTGATGTTTCTTTAGATGGCCTTAACAAAAGATTAGATAAAATTTATGAAATAATGCCTGGTACCAATAAACTAATTGTGTCTGTATCTATGGATGCTACCAAAGTAATTCCAGCTTTTTTAACTTGTGTAAAGTTTAATTGTATTGTGGGAAAGGTTGCGCCAAATCATATACTAAAAATAAATGATGAAACACTTAATGGTATTGACAGTGCAATAGATCTAGCAACAGAAGTTAAAGCAGTTGTTATAATGATTCACAACTGTCCTGAAGGAACAACACCAATTAAACTTCTATGTATTCATCCCCAAAGTACAAATGAAAGTAATTATACATTCAATAATCACATTTATGATGTTTTAACAAGACACCCAAATTTCTAAGTTGTTTCATTTTGCACAGATGGTGTATCATACGAAAGTAAATGGATAACAAAGATTTTATTATCATTTCTTGATGAAAAAACAAATTAAGTTGCTTTTATAGATAATAATCATGTTGCAAAAGCCGTAAGAAATCAAATTTTGTCTGGGACCGAATTAAAAACAATTGGATCGTATCTGATTCAACCTGGAATATTTGCACACGCAAGTTTAAATATATCTAGAGATTTATATGAAGTTAAAGACTTTGCATCTGATGCCTTAGTGTTAGGAATTTGTGACCCTAAATTAATAAAAAAGATAATAGAAGCAGATTTTAACAGTCATGCAATTTCAAAGCAATCACAGTACATACTTTCTTTAACGTTAGTATTTCTCAGACTTTTTCTTATTTCAACAAATGCTGACGATATTGATTTTCAATTAAGAATTGTTTTTAAATGGTGCGCAATGATTTGGTTTTTATCAATTGAAAGTATTCACTTTATAACTTTAAAGAACATTGTTGCAAATGCAATAAAATGTCTATCTTTTTGTACCGACAGGAGCGAATTAAATGCCCTAGATATTGTACTGAAGAACCTTGTGAGCATTATTTTGGTTTTACTAGACAATTTGAAAGAGAATTCACAATTCGTGGTTTTATTCAGTATGATGATAGAATAAATCAATTTTTTTCATCTGCTTTTAGATCTGCATTAAACACTGGAGGGAATTCGTCTAAAGGTTATGCCAGTACTTTAACTGGCTTTGTTGCATCTGTAACTGCAATTCTAGAAAAACAAAAAACAAAGAAAAAAGAAGTTATCCCTACATTGAATTTATCACCTAATCAAGAAAAGGTTTTGACCAATTTTGTCATCAATCATTTGCTAGTAAACTATCCAAAATAGTTTTTCCAATAATCAATGAGTTTTCAAATCAAATGAGTGTTTTGCTTAATACATGTGGAATTAAAAAAACTTTGACTAAAAAATTTAGTTCTCTTTCAGATTTAAAGAGCTTCTATACTTCCTTTATAGAAAATAAAAATAGTCTGATAAAAGTAAACATTAATGTTACTTTTATCAGACTTACATTAATGTTATCAGACTTACATTTACATTAATGTTACGAGCTGTTAGGGAGTCTTTTTCAAGCAGAACTGAAAACATGGGTTGTCATGAGTATTTTTCGAAAAGCATACAACAAATGGAGACCAACAGAAAGTTGTGAAGTTCCTGTTGATAAAAAAGGCTTAGTTTTAATACATTCTATTTTAGCAGAATATGGAGTCTTAACCGGTAGCTATATGATACCATATCAAAATGTCGAAAACGAAAAGATAAAGGACAATCAAAAAAAGTATTTTATGAAAATTGATTGCTATGAAATAACTGAATGGCTTGCTGCTGATTAAACTTTTATTAGAATTAACTTTTGAAGTTTCCTTTTGGTTTATTTTAAAACTGTTTTTGGTACTCCATTTATAATTTTGCATTGTTTTGTGTATATATTTATTTCATAACTATGTATCAAAGAAAAATTGTTTTTTTTTAGAATGATAAGTGGAAAAACGCAGTTCCCCACTGTACTGATCTATATTTATTTATATATATGTATATTTTTTATATATATTATATATATATATATATATATATTTTATATATATTATATATATTATATATATATATATATATATATATATATATATATATATATATATATATATATATATATATATATATATATGTATACATATATAAATATATATTTTATATTGTTTTTTGGAACACTCTAATATATATATATATATATATATATATATATATATATATATATATATATATATATATATATATATATATATATATATATAATAGGGTGTTCCAAACAATATTAAAAAAAAAAATCTGCTCCCACCCTTTAAATGTGTTCTATATAAGGGGCCATCCATAAAGTACGTACGCAGGGATGGGGAGGGGGTTTGCCAAAAGCGTACAAGCGCAAACAAGGGGAGGGGGATTAAAGACAGTGAGTACGTACGCGGTTTGGCTATATCTCCTAAACATGATTTTATTTTTTTTTAAACATTGAACTTCACGTGTGTAACAAATCAGAATAGTGTTTTTTTTTTCTGACCAGTTTTTTTTTCTAGCTTCAGAAAAAAAAAACAATGTACCTTCAGAAAAAAAAAACAATGTACCTACGCGGAGAGGGGGGGTCTTTGAAAGCGTACAGGTTTGTAAAAGGGGGAGAGGGTCTTAAATCAGTGATTTTACTGAGTACGTACTTTATGGATGCCCCCTAATATAAAAACACTAGATTTAACATTTTTTGCCGAACCTTGCTTTGAAAAATGGCCCTCTACTCAAAATAGGTTGCCAACCATTAGTTTGACATAATGTTGCGTCTAACCTATTGTTGCGTCTGTTACACAAGTTTGAAGTTTTAAAGGCTATAACTGAATATTTAGTATTCTTCTAACAATATCTTCTAGAACAAAAGCTTTCCAAAATAAAAACACTAAAAAACCTACAATCTTATAGCTTTAAACTTATTGTTAACAACATAATATAAATTAGGGTTTATTATCGAAATTGCAATTTTCGAAAATTTTCGATTAAAACGATATCGAAATACTTCTTTTTTTTCGAAATCTAAAAAAACTTTCGATAATAATCGAACTAGCCATATTAATTTCGAA